GGCCGAAGCAAAGCTTATTCTTGCCTACCCTATTTTTTACCTTACAACCAGGATTTCTTCAAATTCAGATTACATAGTACATAGTACATATATAGATCTACATAAGAACGTAACGCATCCTGTGAGCTCTGAGCGTAACCCCCCCCCCCTTCAACAGATCACGGGCGTGTCCATCCTGCGGGCGGGGGAGACCATGGAGCAGGCCCTGATGGCCGTGTGCAAGGACATCCGGCTGGGGAAGATCCTCATCCAGACCAACCACGACACGGGGGAGCCGGAGGTTTGTGTGTTTTTATTTATTCATCTTTCTTGTTCTTATGAGAAAAAGCAGCTTGGATTTGGGGAGATTGAAGGTGTTGCACTAAATGTGGCAAAACAAATGATCCGAAATGCCAACACAGGAAGATGCTATTTTATATTTTGTAGATTTATTTTTCCTGACTCCTCCTCTGCCCCCCTCAGCTGCACTACCTCCGCCTGCCCAAGGACCTGAGCGAGGACTACGTCATCCTGATGGACAGCACCGTGTCCACCGGGGCCGCCGCCCTCATGGCCGTCCGCGTGCTGCTGGTGGGTCGATTTCAGCCGTTTGTGGAGGATCTGACAGAGGAGCAGCTTTTCTGGGCCTGTTGGTAGCTGCTCTGGAGCTAAAATTACTGAGGGACATTCGAACGGCTCATGATGATATGGGGGTTTAGGCCCCTTTTCTCCCTCTGCCGGAGAATTTCCAGGTCCTGTGCACACACGGGACTGCTCATGAAATTACTGAGGGACATTCGAACGCCTCCTAAAGACGCATGGGGTGCACACACAGGGCTGTTCATGCCTTTGGTTTTACTCTTCTGCACTTTAGTGTCCAGAAGGAGCAAAACGACCCAGAATTTAGCAGCAAATCTAAAGAGAGCGGGTTAAAAATGTGAAATATGTCGTATGCTAATTACCATTTAGAATATTTAGCTCAGCCTCAGTATTTTAATGTTTAATGTGAATCTCCCCTCAGCATTTTATGATGTCAGATAAAAACTCCCATTTAAAAAAATTAAAAAAATATCTGAGGCATGTTCAGATTCTAGAAAACACGCAGTCTTAATATTGTCCACTGTCTCACTTTGTTCAGATGTGCGATAACTTTCACCTTCTGTGTTTCTGTGTCGGTTTTTCCTTGCATTATTGGGGATTTTTCTCTTCTGCTTTCCCTTGTGAAGGACCACGACGTGGCCGAGGATAAGATCTTCCTGCTGTCGCTGCTGATGGCGGAGATGGGCGTCCACTCGGTGGCCTACGCCTTCCCTAAGGTCCGCATCATCACCACCGCCGTGGACAAGGAGGTCAACGACCAGTTCCACATCATACCGGGCATCGGTGAGGAGACGCACGTCCCCTATGGGGAGCCCAGAGAGTCTCATGAGCAGCTCTCTGTCTGTTTCTGAGCACTTTAAGGCTCAGGACTCAGGTCCTTTTCTGCCCGAAAAGCTGAGTCAGGTTTCTTTGAACTTCTGGTGATCGGTTGTCTAAGACGAAAGCGCTGCATTTTAGCTCTTTATTGGCAGGCTGTAAGGAAGAGTAACTGAAATCCAGCCGTGGGTGGAAAAGGGTGAGTAAAATGGCTCCGAATCAGCCGAGCGGCGCCACGGCGTCCGATTTTGAAAAAGCCGTCGGCTTTGAGCTGTCAGGACTTCTGTTGGAATCTGTTCACTTCAAACTGTAAAGATCCTGATTTGATTGAAGCTTTAGAAAAGGCGGCTGCTTGTGTTTACACCCCGTTAAGCACATTGTGCAAAACAAAGTCTTTGATAGAGGAAAAACGGGTCCAGATTCGCTCTGATAACTCCGATCTTAAAGAAAAGAAAATACAACCTATCTGATGAAATCAAACATCACTGACTGCAAACGGCCTGGACGGGTTTTAAAAGTTCTGACAGAACAAAGATAAACTTGTTGATGGTGCCTTTAAAGTCCTAAATGTCAGAACTAGGGGTGACGCCCCCCTCAGGAGGGCAGAGGCACAGCCGGGTGACGGGTTCAGGGCGCTGTCCCTGGTCCTGAACACACAGCTCAGGGTCCAGTGGAAAACAGCTCAAGCTTTCAGAGTGATTTATAGAGAACTCTTAAACCATGAGAGATCTGATATCTGCAGTCGATTTCTGAGACAGCTGGGCTCCTCTTTGATGTGCTACACGACCACCTTTCCATTTGAAAAACGTTCCCTCCATCCAATATGGCGGCTTACAAGATGGCAGCCGTGTTCCTCAGAGAGAGCCCCCCCCACCGTATATTGCTGGGGGGGCCAGACGGGTCATGTTCCCTTTAAGGAAATGTCAAGCTAACAGTTCCCAGGCAGTTTATTCACTAAAGCTGTTTAAAATGAATAAAAGGCGTGTTTTTTGATGATTTTTAAATGAATTCAAACTATTAAAAAGGTTTTTTTTTATTGGATGATAATCCTTTTGGATGTTCTCAGGTAATTTTGGAGATCGTTACTTCGGCACCGACGCGCCGTCAGACTGGTGTGAAAGCGACGAAGGGATGGACTTCTGAGGAGGAGGAGGAGGAGGAGGAAGAGGACTAAGAAGAAGAGGAAGAGGAGGAGAAGTCGTTACAAAAGCACTTGGCCATGAAAAGAGAGCATCCTGCCTGATCCACCTCCGCCCACCCAGAGAGGCCATGCTGTACAGACTGCATCCCATCAAAACCAGTGAAACCAGCCTCCCCCCCCCCCCCCGCCTCCACTGGGCGCTTTGGGGCAGGAACAGGTGAAGCGGGTGGTGTCCACGTCGGGGTTTCCGTTGCCAACATAAAACTTGAAAGTCGATGTTTGATTGAGGTATTGTCGGTTTCCTGGAAGAGGCTTCCACTCCAGATTTACTTTCAGGATTTTGCACAGCCGGTCCCATTTGAATCCGCTGCTCTAACTATTAGATGTAACAGATATGAGATATTTACTTCAGTGTTTAATAGATTGGTGGAAATCTAGACTATTTGATTTTGTTTTGCACAAAGATTTGCCATTAAAAAGCAACCCGCTGGTGTCTGAAGGCGGTCACGAACCCGTTTAGCCTGGATCGCCCTGACCTTTGTCCTCATTTACAACCCGTGTTGTAAACTTTTAATCTCAGGCGATATTCACCAAAAGGGACGATTCAACGGCGTTTGCTCGAAGACGATTGACCAATGGTCAAGTGAAAAGGTCTTAAGTTATCCTTCCATTGCATGATCAAGTCCAATTTTTTAAGTGCTTTTAGATATTTTCCCCCTACAGAACACATCTGTTACAGAGCTTGAACCAACGCGTTCTGAGCAAACGCGCCACTGGGATCTTTGAATCTCCCATTCAGGAATTGTGGACTATTTAAGGGACTGACGGGTGCTAAAGTGGGACTTAAAACAGAGAGTCCTGCCCAATCCCAACACTCAGTTTGTCTCAGTAGCATTTTACATTTAAACTTCTCATCCTTTAAATCTGGCCTCACGGGGCCTGGACTTGCTGCTGTTTTGGACAATTTGTATGTTTTTTTTATTTATTTATTGTGTTTACAGATATTTTGGCTTTATTTGGCTCATACTGAGTGGAAATTATGTTCTACATTTTCAAAGATTCTGCCAAAATTTCCTCCCGATCGCTCTGACCACAGCGCGACTCGTCAAACGGGTTTAATGAACAGTCACACCTGTGCTCATGTCTGTTATTCGTTTTGTGAGAAAAATACAATAACCTCACCTCTGTTTACATCCAGCTCTTAGAAACTATACGCACAGTAAAAAAAATTAGCAGATACGTGTAAAAACAAGCAAAATATTACAAATAACTTGAAGGTAATCTGTAAAATACTTTAAGAAGCAAACTATAAACGGAATGAGCTTTAACTAAAGAAAAATGGACTCATGATGTTTGGAGAGCTGTAACATTATTGACCTCATCAGCTATATTTGACCTCATAAATTTGCTGCTTGTTTTTGTAACTGCCACCTCACTTGTAAAGAATAAAAATAAATATCTGAAACAGCGCACAATTTTTAAAATGATTTTTTCTTTTTCTTTCGCTGTGTTCCGGGGTAATCCACCAGAGGGCGATAGAGGGGACGGTTCCTTGTTTACAGCGGAAATGACGTAGTACAGGAGTTATGATGATGCCTTCACAGCCCTCGGAAAGTTGAAAAATAATTTTCAAATGTTTGATAACGTGTTTGTCCTTTCCTGAAAAGAATATATATAAAGATCCTTCAATTCTCAAGAGATAAACGCATCAGGAGTGTTGACTTCCAAAAAATACGGATTTAAAATGAAAGATGTTTTGCCTTTTTTCTGATGCAACACCACCAGATTATACTTACACAGAATTTGATAATTAGCAGTAATTAACAAATAACACATTTCTTCAGGAATCACTCATAAAAAGATTTAAACGATTTTCGATACAGCTTTACCATGAATGAAAGCTGTATCCATCTTAAACCATCCAGATAAAGTTGCTGTTTGAGTGTCTGAAGTCGGGAGCTGCTTTGGGACCGTAAACGCCTCTTCCTCTCCAAACTGGAAGCTGGGGCTCACCAACAGGCATGTACAACATTTCATCTTATTTTCTGTGAATTAACCCGGCTTTGAATACAAATTATTCACCCTCCTGTTTCTACGGGTTACTTTTAACAAGCTTTCCGTTCCAGTAAGTCGCAACAATTTTAACCCAACATTAGAAAAAAAAACTTAACAATAGGACCTTTGCAGGTTTTTTGCCTCGTTAAACTGAAATTATGTAAGGACACACGTGTAGCCAGTTTGTTTTTTCAGGTTTGATTTGTCAGGTTTGTGTAGGGCTGATGACAGTTTGCTGCCAGTTTATTTAACGTGAAACTAACATGTCACTCCGGATGTAATTGAAAAGTTCGATGTTTTATAACCTAAAGGAGGATATGCTATTCATATCCCATTAAAGAATAAATCAAGTGTGGGTCGTGTAACTTATTCGTAAACACTCTTTAATTCGGCATAGACTATATGAGCTGGTAGTTTATCATTTTGACGGTATATTTACTTTCCACCATCGGTGTATTTGCATAGAGTTTTTAAGTATTTTTTATTTATCCAAACTTCTCCTGTAACATCTGATAATCTGTCAGTTATCTTTGCTCAGTCTAAATATCACTAAAAGACAAAAAGGAAATAACGTGACCCATTCAGAAAACACTAATAGACGATGTGATGGGACGCATTAGCAGTTTGCTTGATTTGCATCACGATGTCTGCCGGTGGGCGGGGCTATGTTCGGAAATCACTTCTGTTGTGACCCTTTGTAACTTTTTTTTTCTCGGTTTGTAGAAAAAATGGCAGGCCTGTGGAAATCCTACCAGGTCTTGATGACTAAATACCCTTGGACGGTCCAGATAGTCACAGCTGGTAAGAAGAATCACGTGATTTAGCTGAAAAGCTGCACAGATTAAGCTAATATACATCATAACGACACAAATCACCATCATCCAACTCCAGAGATTTAAGTCATCTTCTGTCTTACTTCTAAACTTGCATATTGGTTTAAATTAATTTTGAAAATGAGTTTGGACAAACAGGAGCTTGAGAATGTTTGGGTTATGGTTCAATTCCCCAACCTTTGCTGTTTCCCACCTCAAAATCAACAAGGAAATAAAGCCTTTGACCTGTTTCTGAGATTAGGCCCAGTGTGCAAACGAACTGGGAACTACAGGAATAAAAAGGGTTTCCT